TGGAAGCTCTTCTCTGTGTGGCTTAGCCCCCCACACACCCACACCATCCACCCCCAGGCCTCCTCATCCTCTGCATCTACCTCTGTAGGCTCATGGTGCTCCAGCTCTGAGAGGAGCAGCTGGGCCCAGTGCTCCAGGTGTGAGCTGGTTCTGTAGATCCAAGAAGGACAGAGGCAGATGGGAAGGGCCCTGTGTGGGTAATGGCACGCCTCTTTCCATGGCTAGTGGAGTGGACTGTCACTGATGACTCAGCATGAGCTTTCTGCTCATCATTCCCTGCCCTCTCCTCCCCTCTCCTCTTGGGTCCTGTCTTCTCACTTGCTTCCCACTCTCTGGACTCCAGCACTAGCTTTACTCCTCATGCCTGGAACAGCCATCACTCTGTGCTTTCCCCAGACACTCAGCTCCCAGCATTTAGCAAAACCATTGGGAGGATCAGCTCAGCTGACAGGGTGGCTCTGTCACCTCCACAAGGACACCACACAGGCTAAAAAACACACACACACACACACACACAGTCACACACACGCACAGGGACAGGACACAGCCCAGAAGCCCAGGACACAGGACAAGGGATCCCATCCTCTGGGCTGCTGAGTGTCCCTTTCACAGTGACCAGTGCCTATGTGCCCCCAAAGGCCACCACCCAATGCCTACTTCAGTGGTGCCAACTCCCCTATGTCCTTGGGGTCATGCTGGGCAGGAGTGCAGGGGCACGAGGCACCATGTTCACACCTCCCTCAGCTCCTGCTCCCTGCAGTTCCTGGATCGCCCGATGCTGATTGTGGCTTGAGAAGGAAAAGCATGGCTGGGCCAGCAGAATGCTCTGCACTGCTGACCATGGGACCTGGCACGCTGGCTGCACTAGGGAGCAGGGGCAGAGGTGGACAGAGGCCCTGCTGAGAGAGGTGGTCAGTTATGCTGGGGGCCAAAGGGAGGGAACCCTCCTGGCACATTCTTGGATAAGTCCCCGCATGGAGAACCCACAATTATATTCACCTAGAAGCTTTGACAGCATAAGTAGCCAAAGAAAAGCAGGAAACAGGTTTTATCTGGGCAAAAGAGACACTTTATTGTTTCCTTTGGTTTCTGGAGGCCTCAGGCTGGGCTGGACTCACTGTCCTCCCCCACCAGAACAGAGTGGGGCTCCGTGGCTATTATCATGGTAGTCCACAGCTAGGACTCCCAACACCGACAGAAACTCAATAAAGGAGATCTTCTTATCCATGTTCTTGTCCTTGTTCTCAAAGATATCGCCCAAGAAATCTATGCCCCTATTTTCCTGTGGAAAAGATAAATTCAGTATCAAAGGTGTTATCAGTGGAATAGGAGGAGGAGGAGGCAGAGAGGGTGAGAGAAACATCTGGGGTCCCACAGGTGTAGCTGTTGTGAGCCAGTGGACTGGACCACGGGTTAAGGGGACGTTAGCATTAACCTGCATGTCACTGAGGGAGAATCCTTGTACCAAATGTCAGAATGAAAGAGAGACCTAGTGGTGGTGGGCAGACTCATCCCAGTACTTCACTGATCAATGAGCTGGTGGGTGGGTGGTCTTTAGATCCAGACCTGCTCCCCTCACCCACTTCCAGGACCCCATCTACCTAAGTTCTACACAGAAACTGAAGATAGGCCCTACCCCTTGTGTCTTCATTCCTAACCCTCCTCTCCTATCTCCTATTTGCCTTCCCAAATCTTCCATGCTCAGTGCCCTCTTTTGCTCACTTACTCTCTGTGTCACCTAGTAGTCTCTCTTTTTGTATTCAGTTCAGTGCATTCTAACTGTCAGACTAAATCAGGTCTATGAATGAGATCTTTCATTGTAATGAAAGGTGTTAAATTTTATCAGCCGTGGGATTTCTATCACCTTCCCTTGGATCTCAGAGAACCTAATAGAGGCTTCTGGAGGCAGAGCCTGAGCCTCTGGGCTTCAGTCTCCTGGATGGAGAGTGACAAGTGGGAGGGGACCCATTCTTTACTCTCCTATTTGACCACCTGATAACTACCCTTGAACCCAGATGCCTTTACACTTGGCCACATGTATCATCTCTTTCATCCTGATAATAAGTCAGGAGAGTCCTCTTAGGCCTTTTTGCAGATGAGAATATTGAGGATCAGAGAATGGGGTTGACTTGTCCAAAGTCCTCCCCCATGCCAGGGCCCAAGCAACCTGGAGAAGTCACCCAGACTCACACAAGCGTTGAGGAAGTGAGGATAATTCTCCCTCAGCATCCTCAGAAGGCCCTTCTTGTTAATCTTGTCATCAGGTTTGGTGTATCTGTGAAACTGGTCGATCAAGTCCATCATGGCCTGTTCAGCTACAGTATGGCCCATCTTGGATTTCAAGGAAGCTGCCAGAGAGGAAGATGCGGAACTTTGTTATCCTTCTCCCCAGATGAGGGTCCCTAAGTCAAGTCAATGGGGTGGGAACTGAAGATCCTGTGAAGTGAGGTTCAGCTGGAGCAGAAGGAACTGTATCACCCTAGAAGGAGGGATGAGATGCATATGGCCCATCTTGGATTTCAAGGAAGCTGCCAGAGAGGAAGATGCGGAACTTTGTTATCCTTCTCCCTAGGTGAGGGTCCCTAAGTCAAGTCAATGGGGTGGGAACTGAGGATCCTGTGAAGTGAGGTTCAGCTGGAGCAGAAGGAGCTGTATCACCCTAGGAGGAGGGATGAGATGCTCATAAGGAGGAAAGTGTGACCAAGGCTGGGGCCTGGGCCCATGCAGGTCAGGGCCCTGAGGAGGTAGGGAGAATAAAGAAACCCACTGTGGACGGAACCACAGGAGGCAGAAGCAGAGAGGGTAGGGGTCAATCACATAGTAAAGGACTGACATTTTAGTTGAGAACTGAACCAAACACAGCATTTCGATGACTCTACTCTTTAAGAGCAGTAATACCAACTCCTCCAGTGTCAATGTCAGGGTTAGAGTCATGCGGACAAAATAACTTCCTGACTAGTCTGGTCTGACCCACCCTGGGCTGCTCTTGGAACAAGATCCCAGAGGAGCCCATCCTGAACATAAAGCAAGTTCTAAATGAAATGGGCCCTGGAGGCTCCCAGCGGGGAGTGGAGTAGGATGGTGAGTGTGAACAGAGAAGCACAGCCCTGTCCTGAGTTCCCACGGAGGTTTTCCTGGACCATCCCCACCAGTGGGGAAAAAGGGACTGCTGAACAGAATTGGCATCATGTTTGAAATAAACAGAAATACCTGCCTCAGTTTTAGACTCTTGGGTGGAATGTGGGGAGATAGGCTCCTTCAGATGACCTTGTACCTCCCTGCTCTCTGGAACCCCAAGGCTACACCACATTTAAGTAAAGAGGTCTGACTTCCCAAAGCCAGTACCTACACCAACAGTCTGTACCCAAGCAGAGATATTGAACAGTGTAGCCCTCACACCCCAGACTTTCCAAAACTCTCAAGAAATGTGTATGGCTCCCATGTGTGGGCATCTAACAAAAACTACCATTGTCTCCTGATCTGGGAGAAAGATCCTCCCTGTTATGTCCCTAAGTGAAAACACATAAGGCCTTCTGTCATCTTGGCCAAGGCCTTAACTGAGCCCTGTGCACAGAAGGTCACTGGTCATTCCCTCAGCTGGGCACGAGGTCCAAAACTTTAGTTGATATGTCCCTGATCCACATAGTGGCAAATCTTCTCTCCCGGGCATAGTGAGTGGGCATCCCAGGTCTTGGTTTTAGGACCATCTTCAAGACGTTGGGAGAGCCACCCACTCTCCCCAGACGTTGGGGGGCAAAGTACATGGCCTGAGAGTCAGATGATTCCAGAGAGAAAAGAAGACAGGAGCAGAGGAAGGTTCATATACTGAGCTCCCACCAGGGACATTTCAACAGAGTTGTCACAGAAGAACCAACAGAGCAATGGGAGCATCAGAACAGACATCTTGTTGTAGATAGACCCTTGGGACCAAGTGGGATCAAGTTGGATAGACCCATAACAGGCAGAGTTGAGAGTGGATACAGATTCCTGAATCCGCTCCCATCACCGCTCTCCCTATTCCTGGACACAGAAGAACACCCTGGGCCCTGACGAACCCCCCTGGCAAACAGGTGCAGACTTACCGGCGCTGACGAGGTGTCACTGAGGAGAAGGTGAGTGTGCTGTGCATCTGGACAAAGACTGGTCCCTTTATAAGGCTCAGTCTGGCTCCTCCCAGGCATTTAGGCCATGTTCTCTCTCTGCTTAATTGACCATTGCCTCACTCAGGTGGGTGGCACACACCTAGGAGAGTGTGTTTATTATCTTCCAATAAAATCTTAGGCAACACCCAAGGGATTGCACTATTCTAGAGCATTATTCTGTGGGTAAGGAAAGCTAGGGCTGGGGAGGGGAAGACAATGGGATGTGTCTTAAAAACACAGGAATTGAGGTAGAGAACTCTGGGTTTCTGAACTTAAAGAGGATGGGTCTCTGAAAGGCAGCATGGTCTCTTTTTGTGTATCACCCAGTCCTTCCACAAGTTTGTCTGACATCTAACAAAACTCTCTCCAGCGGTTTATAAGTCCATAACTATACCACGCATCACCTTACCTGTCATATTGATATTCCTCCTAAACCTTCAAAACCTTATGAGATGGTGCTGTTACCCTCATGTTGAGGACAGGGAATTGAGGGAGTAAGAGGTAAGCAAAGTTCCTATGTGCACCAGACTGAAAGACAGCAGCTCAAGATATGACCCAGAAAAGCCTGATTCAAAACCTCCCTCCTAACCCCACCACTAGACCTCTGGGGTCACTGCAGGGCCTGTGAACTCAAAGTCCAGGGGAGGGTCAGCTCACTCCCATGTTTATATGGGGTCCTCACTGAAATGCTAGGAGAGAAAGAGTTGCCATGACCCACAGTGACAGGTAGCACAGAGTGAATAGCACGTCTGTGCCTGGCCAGGATGGCCAAGGGCGTACCTGAGTGGAACAGCTGAAAGGCTTAGAAAAGACTGAGAGGAGAATGAAAGATGTGTCTCGCTGGGATGCTGCTTCTCTGAGAGACAGCGACAACGCCCACCAGCCATGTCTTTATTTTATAGCAGATGCCATGAGGCAAAGTAAGGGCATGATAAAGATGTTTCCAACATTCTCGAGGTTTTAATCCTACTCAACTACATGCACCTGAACTCTACCAGGCCTCCATAACTCAGGCACGTGAGGCCACGTGTTCGGACCATAGCTTCAAGCTTACAACTACAGCCGTTGGCTATAATTGTGCTGGGAGGGCCCTGCCATCCAAGCTGGGACTTGCACAATGAGAGGACTGTGCCCTCTCATCAGGCCAAGGCTTGAACCTATCCAAACACTGTAGCTGCTCCCCACGCATATCACCCACAGGTGAGGGAAGAGACAAGGTCAGAGCTCTCAGTTCTGGCGTTAGCCCCACACACTTCGCTTTGCAGCTCCAGGGGCTGCCTGAGCCCACCAAGGAAGCCACTGTCTCTAGACTCAGGGATGGTGACCACCATGAAATGAGCCAGCAGGAAATGGGGCAACTTTGCCTCCCCTCCCATGATGATGCCTTCCTATAAATTCTTCAACGATGTCCCCTCCTTCCCTTATGCAAAACAGTCTGCTTAGGAGTCAAGTGGCCATGCCCTAGAACAGTGATGGCAAACCTATGACACGCATGTCAGAGGTGACACGTGAACTCATTTTTTTGGGTTGATTTTTCTTTGTTAAATGGCATTTAAATATATAAAATAAATATCAAAAATATAAGTCTTTGTTTTACTATGGTTGCAAATATCAAAAAATTTCTATATGTGACACGGCACCAGAGTTAAGTTAGGGTTTTTCAAAATGCTGACACGCCGAGCTCAAAAGGTTCGCCATCAATGCCCTAGAATCTGCTGTGTCCCAACCTGCTGTATAAAATCTAGTTCAGGTGCAGGAGACAGGAGCTTGGAGGTTAGGAGGAGGCCTGGGGCTCTCTGGGGACCTGCCCTGGTGACTCACTAAGGAATCCTTGTTCCTGCTCTCTGCTTCCCTTAGAACAGTGCTTCTCAACCTTGGCTGCACATTAGAATCACCTGGGAATCTTTTTAAAATCCTGATTTCTGGGCCTCATCCTCTGGAAATTCTGTTTCTTTGTTACTAATGTTGTGGCCTCACCCCATAACAAAGAAACAGAATTTCCAGGGGATGAGGCCCAGATCAGGATTTTAAAAAGATTCCCAGGTGATTCTAATGTGCAGCCAAGGTTGAGAACCACTGCCTTAGAACATCCTCCCCTGAGTGAGGGGACTGCTTAGGCATTGGGCACCCTGGGACCAGGCCCACCACTGAGCCTGGGTCAGGATCCCCCCCACCCCTAATGCATTGGGCTTCCACACCTGGCCCTTCTGTCCCCAGTTATGTCCACATCTGCACCAGCACCAGCCCTCTCTGGTTCACTTATGTAATGTGTTCTCACCGCCACTAAAAGCCTGCTGTGAAGGATACACAGGAAACCTGGAGAGGGGGTCACTTGGAGCAGAGGAACTGAAATGTCATTCCCACATTCGCCCTGGTATAGCTTTTGAAATTTGAACAATGTCAAGATACTTCAAATTCATTTTTAATTTTTATATTTAAGTTTTGCTTTGTTCAGTGTTGGCCTCACTTTCAGAGTCTGAACTATGTATAGTCCTTGGCTTCTGGAATATGAGCATCATTAATCTGTTGCAAAGTATCTTATTTTTACTTATATACTTATATTCTGCTGGAAGCCGGTCCACCCTTGCTGCTTGACACAGTCGCTGCAGGGAAGAAACATCTGCACAGCTTATGTTTCAAGGGACCTGGCGTATATGGCATATGTTTGCTCCCCCTCTTAAGGCTATGTGTTTTAAACAGGACCACCTTCCAGAGAAAGGTTGTTTCCCCAGGTGAGGATTTTTCCGTGGGAAATGTCATTCCCACATTCGCCCTGGTATAGCTTTTGAAATTTGAACAATGTCAAGATACTTCAAATTCATTTTTAATTTTTATATTTAAGTTTTGCTTTGTTCAGTGTTGGCCTCACTTTCAGAGTCTGAACTATGTATAGTCCTTGGCTTCTGGAATATGAGCATCATTAATCTGTTGCAAAGTATCTTATTTTTACTTATATACTTATATTCTGCTGGAAGCCGGTCCACCCTTGCTGCTTGACACAGTCGCTGCAGGGAAGAAACATCTGCACAGCTTATGTTTCAAGGGACCTGGCGTATATGGCATATGTTTGCTCCCCCTCTTAAGGCTATGTGTTTTAAACAGGACCACCTCCCCGAGAAAGGTTGTTTCCCCAGGTTAGGGATTAATTAGGGAGGGAATAAAACCCCTTAACTAAGTGCCAGGAGGGTAATTAATCACTTTAACCAGGAACAATCACGCTTAAGCTACATAATCTTTACTTAGGATAATCTCCTTCAGTTACTCCCTTGTAGCTTAATAGAACAATAGAGTAACCTTGGAATGGAGATAAGAAACGCCCTAACCTTTGGAATAGACTTGATAAGATTAAAATCAACTGGTATAAATACAGATGTTACAAGACAATAAACACAGAACCTGGCTAGGCTGCTGATCAATGGAACGCTGTCTCCGTGTCATTCCTTCCTTCTTCGCCGACTCCGTCCACACCTTTGGGAACCCCTGGACCTGCTGGGGATGGACCCCAACAATATTCCTTTAATCTACATTACCATTCAATTTCCCCCCAAAAAGCCAAAAAAGCAATATATGTTTTCTGGGTTTTTTTGTTTATTTTTATGCATGCTCACCAATGTAAATAATTAGTTTGGCCCGTGTTCTCTCCATGTTTTTTTTTTAAATATAGATTAATTATGCAGAAAAGTACAACAAACTACAATACACAGCCCAATGAATCTTACACTTGTGACTGTCCCCCACGTCAATTAAACATTGCCACCACCCACACCAGCCTGCTTTCTCTATCCTCTGGGGTTATACTGTGTGTCACTGTACATCTCCAGCATCTACATATTCTATTTTATTCTTTTTGTCTTCACTTCTAAAGTGCGAGCATTGAGGAGAGATAAATTCTTTAAAATATTGCTCTGGCCATATGTTCATCCTAAAGTCCAGTGAGTGGTGCTCAGTGGGTTCTTCTTAAATTCTGTACCTTGAACAAATGGTCCAGGTCTCCGCTCCAAACTTTGTTCTTCATTGTATACTTATATACCTTTATATGAATGTGACATAATTTTTTTATAATTCTGCTTTAGATACCACATGCTCATCACTTTGTTGTCTTTTTCAATGGTTTCCAACTCAGGTGACCAGGGATTTTGACCTCGGATGTCCTGTTCCTGTGGGGATCAGCCACCCTGTCTGGTGAGATATGTGGAAAGGGCCCAGGGCAGTCTCTGGTTGTGAAAGTCTTTGGTGTTTAAGGAATAAGAAGGGGATGAGCCCATGTTTCAGGGACCAACTTCAAAATAGCCCTGTTTATTGTCAGAGAAATTAGTGTTTGCAACAATTGTGACTAACAGCCAAGTCCACCCCAGCATCTCCCATATAACTCACCACCACCAGAAAGGCTGAAGGTATCTTGCAATCCCTGAACCAAAATTCCTTTGGCAACATATGCTACACATCCAGGTCAGTCACTTGGAACAATGTCGCAAGCATTTACTGTTTATCCTGAGCCACTCTTTCATTCATCCCAATGGACTCTGGACCCCAGCTGTCCTTGGCTGTTTGGAGCTGAGATCTGTACCAGTTGTTCAAGGTACAAAATTTAAGGAGAGCCCGCTGAGCACCACTCACTGTACTTTAGGATGAACATAATGGCAAGAAAAATTTTTAAAGAATTTATGTCCCCTCAATTCTCCCACTTTAGAAGTGAAGATAAAAAGAATAAAATAGAAACTGTGGGTGTTGGAGATGTTCAATGACACAGTCTATAACCCAAGAAGAGAGGGGTAACTTTCTGGGGAAGAGAGGTGGATAAGCCAAGGAATTAAAATAAATTGGGCCCAGCTAGCATGGCTCAGTGGTTGAGCATCAACCTATGAACCAGGAGGTCACAGTTCAATTCCTGGTTACATGACCAGGTTGCGGGCTTAATCCCCAGCGTGGGGCGTGCAGGAGGCAGC